GAAAAATACTACATCCTACATAATTCTATATGAAAATAAAGAAAAATAATGAGTAAAAGAAAAAAAAAAAAAAGGGGCAAATACGAGATTTAAACTAATTATCTAAAAATAAAGACAAATTAATAAGAAAAAAGAAAAAAATATTAATTCTTATATATTCATAGTTAGATGAAATTAAGACATTTACAAAATGCCTCTTAAAAACTAACCAAATCAAAACAAACCCATAGTTGCAACTGAAGAAGCAAAACAGAAGCAAAAGGATCAAGAAAGAAACAAATTGAAGAAAGTTTCTGATGGAGAAGGAGAAAGGAACGAGAGAGAAACAAATTAAACACAATTATGGTGCAGAGTGAGAGAAGGCCGGGTATGAAATACCTAGCACCATTTCGGTCAAGCAATATGACCGAAATATGGTGGGTCCCACAAGCTATCAATCAATCATCTACAATATTCTCACTTTCAGACAAAAGAAATGACCGAAAAAATCAAAAGCTGCACTCCAAATTTTTTCGGTCAATGGTATTGATCAAACAAAAACTGCAAAGCTGAAGCCTCCATCAAATCAATACTTACATTGCACTTTTTTTGTCAGTAAAACTGACCGAAATAGAGGGAAAAAATTCAGAAGGCTTAAGCTTCCTACAGACTCCATCAGACCCGTGATCTGTGCATCTTGTTCACTGACCAAAATAGAGGGTAAAAAATTCAAAAGGCTAAAGCTTCCTGCAAACTCCTCAAACCCGTGATCTGTGCATCTTGCTCAATCAGTTTTGCTTACCGAAATAGAGGGAAAAAAAATTCAAAGGCTGAAGCTTCCTACAAACTCCATCACCATGAGATATGTGTATCTTGTTCAGTCAGTTTTACTGACCGAAATAAAGAAAAAAAAATTAGCAAACCTCCAGCTTTAACTAGTATCCATCAAATCAAAACCACGACTAGGGTTCGGTCAATAAAAATGACCGAAAAAAGTAGGAAAGTAGAGTGGAAAATTACAACTTTAACCGGTTTCCATCACATCATAACCATGCTACTTTTTTCGGTCATTATTATTGATCGAAAGAAACCGAGTCAGATTATATTAATGGTTTTTACAAAATAGTAATTTTTTCTGCATTTTTTCGGTCAATGATACTGACCGAATTGTTTTTCGGTCAATATGATTGACCGAAGATGACATTTGGGGAACTCCCCCCACGTAAGTTCGGTTGAAATGCTTAACCAAAATGATTCTTGACCGAATTAATCGTCAAACATGATATAAAACGGACAATTTTGCATCTCAGTCAATAAAAATGTCCGAAACAAGTCTTATTTCGGTTAAGATTTTTGCTTGATTGAAATTGTATATCCGAAAAAAAGGTGTTTTCTAGTAGTGTAAATTGCCTATTCAAATTATCAATTAAGACAAATTATTCATTATTTAACATGTGATGTCATCACACGTTAGAAATCCGTTTGCCATCTAAGTATTTTTTAACTTAAGGGTAACATGTGATAACATCACATGTTAAATAACAAGTAATTTGTCTTTATCAATAATTTGGAAAGGTAATTTGTCCCTATATTTTTTTGAGGGATGGATTTATCCCTACCCTCCTATTTGAAGGATAGATTTGGGGGTTTTGCCTTTTAAATTTGGATTGTATCAGATTATAAAATAAAAGTTATTAAATTAAATGGAATAACTTCCAATATTAAGAGACATGTCTTTCAATTAATTATTTATAAATTTTAAGTATAATACAATCCTAATTGCACAATACTTTCTTTTTTGGCTAAAAAGAAAAATGGTAAGGTTAGAAGTGTTAAAACAATAATAAAAAGTGTCAACGATCTAAGTAGTTTTAATATCTTTCTTTCTTTCTTTCTTTCTTTTTGTGTAGAAATGAGATGACATGGGTTCGAGTTGCATGGCATATGTTGGCTCAAATGCTCCAAGAGAGGAGGTGAATTGGAGTCTTCAAATTTTTCTTCTTTTTGCAACCATCAAATGAAAAAACCAAGAGAGCAAATGAGAAGAGCTTGCACAATTGATTCTATATAAAATGGCTCAACCACTAGGCACCTAATCCTTTATCTTGGCTTCACTCACCAAGGATTTCCTCCACACTCTCCACTAGTGCTCAAGATTAGTTTAAAAAAGCTACCCAATCCTTTTACAATGTGTTTTTCACTCAAACACTTCCCTTTACAGAAAACCCCAATAAACCTCATTTGGTTTCTCTCTCAAAGGCTTCACTCACTCTCAAGTATCTCTTCTTAGAGCTTTGCTCACTCCTAAGATCACAAAGAAAGGGTAGAAAGAAAGATTACAAAGGATATTATCTCTCAAAGATCTAATTTGCAAGTATAAGCTTAAATTTTTTAAAGGATTTGCAAATCTAAACTCAGCTCTTGGTTTTGATATTCTAATATGTGTTTAGAGGCTCTCCAAGATGTTTACCAATCATATTTATTATCATATTTATAAAGCCAAAGTTGAAACTAGCCCTTTATAACTGTTAGAGTCCATTTAATGCATTGTAGATAAGTTGAGGTGCGAGAAAAGATACTGTAAAATTTGACCATTAAGCTAGCTATATCTTTAGAGCCAATTCTACATTACTAGTTGTCAATTTTAGAGCTAGCTATCTTGGAGGAGTTAAAATATTTTGTTTTTCTTTAGAATTGACTACAAATCCCAAAACCAGCTTAAGAACTTTAAGTTTGAAATATTAAAAAATCTTTAAAATTTTTTACCGTTGAGCATTAAATGTTCCATCATAACCGACACAGCATCAAAACCAACTTTGCATTTGTTTCCCACAAGCGCCAAGCCATAGTTTTGAATTCTGACACAATAGGGCCGACTACAAAACATCTAAGTTTGTTCTTTGGTCAATTTTCAACGTATTGCTCCATTGCTCTTTCATCTAGGTTTGAGAACCCATATCTTTCTCATTTGAACTCTGTTTTGGACATTCTTATACTTGTTCATAAGTTTGAGATGTCTACTTTCACATGAACTAATTTTTGAGGCAAAACTCCAACTATAATTGGATTTCTTCTTAAATAAATAGACAAGTTAGTTTTGCATCAAATAGAAGCTTTTCAATTTTCTAATTTTCTGCATGGTAGCACAAAACTTAATATACTTGACTATTCTTATTTTTGATGAATATTAAGGACCTTTATGATATTTACATTAGCTAGAGTTAGATCCTACTTTCTCTTTATAAACCCCTCATTCTTGGGTTTTGCAGTTCATTCCTAGCTCCCACCCCATTAATCTAGTTGCCACTTAGCTTTTCTTGTCCATCTCTGATTGGTTGGTTACGAAAGCTTAAACCATGTTTTCCCCACACAAAATTCTCAACTTGGTATACTTTTATCCATCTATATGTTTGTATTTTAACTTCAAAATTCAATCTTTCTTGTCATGTTGCAATGTAAAGGTCGATTCTTTAAGCTAGTGGAGAATTAGATGATGATTGATATGTTTCCCTATTATTCTTAAAAAGAGATAAACATAAAGAAACACTACCATATCTACATCTTCCAATATTTTTTTTTAAGAGTTCAAACTACCATATCTACCCTTTCCTTCAATTTTATTAAACCAATTTTTCTCTTAACAACATAATTTTTTTAATGAAATCCCTTCCAAGTAGCATCCACTATCCATCTTCACTTTTTTTTAATCATTCTTACCATTACATGTCTTAAAACAACAAATACGTGCAAATAGGTAAAGAGAGTCAAGAATTAGTTCAAAACCAATCTTAAAAATATTGAGCCATCATTATAGATTAACTAACACCTCAAAACATCACTAAAATTTTTAGTTGTCATCATCAAATATCAGCTTGCTTGTATCTTTCTGCTCAATTTAAAGAGGACCAAATCATAACATGATTGATCCTATCATAAAAGGAAGATCAAAGAGGATCAAATCATATAATGATTGATCCAATTGTAGAAGAAAGAAATATGATGCCATTATGATCAATTTATTGATTGATTGATTTCAAGGATTTAATATTAATTGTATTCTCATTAATAGGAGATTTCTAATTAACTGTTAATTTGTTATATTATGTATTCCTCACCTATAAATAGGGTTGCTCATATGTAAGAAAAGAATAAAGAGAAATAAATGTGCAAAGCCCACAGAGGCTTTTGTACCATAGACCAGGGGGCCTTAATGCATCATGATGTCCTAGCATTATTTTGAACCACATAATATCGTGTGTGTGTGTGTGTGTGTGTGTGTGTGTGTGTGTGTG